AGGTGGTTGCTGCCCAGGAGCCCGGCCCGTCCCCGGCCATCGCGTGGGGCCGCGCTGCGCGCGCCCGTGCTGCGTGTCTCCTCCAGGAGATCTTCCCCGGAGCGCGCAGCACCACCAGCTTTCCTGGCACGTTGTTTTCTTGCAAGTTGTAGCTTCTCACCTCCTAAGCGGCTCTTTAGTCTGCTCTCTGCTTTTCCCACCACGCCTGGAGGCCTCCGCCAAGCTCAGAGAAGTTCATAGCAAGAGTTTCTCCACCAAAGAGCCCACAGGCAAAATAAACCCGATGGGTGCAGCTGGGGGAGGGAAGAAGGCCTGCTTTTCTGGGAACTCGTGCTGGAAGGCTCTCCAGGTTGGGGCGAAGGCTCTCTGGGTTGGGCGCCATCCTCTTCCTCGTCCCACAGCCCTCCCAGACGTGAGCCTCGGTGGGAGGCAGCACCTTGGCAGAGGAGCCTGACCCTGGCCAAGCCGGCTTTTGGCCATCGCACAGGGCTGGTGCGCGGCAAAGACTCGCCGCCGTCGTGGCGGTCCGAGTTTGTTACCGATGCGCACCCGGCGTCGCTTCGGCGCGTCTTCCACTGAGCGTTTGCCCGTGTGAAGTGGTTTCCTACAACCGCGGTGGCGCATCTGTCGTTTCTCCGAGGCGAAAGGTATCTTGGCGCTTACCTCAGCGGTGGCGATGGGGAGGAGAATGAAACGAAATAAAATGTCGTTTTGCAGCCTTGTAAATCATTCATCAAGGACTGACCAATTTGGCTCCCATCCTACAGTATGCTCAGGGCACTCGTGGGTTTTTAATTATTGAATTCTGCCAAGTGCCACATGTGCAAGGAACTTTAAATATGCGTTTACACTGCAAACGCATAGGTGAGGTAGGGGGTGTTTATCGTGGAAAAATATTCTGTGGTTTTGTGGAAAAATGTGCATTTGCTTAAAGATTTTCTTTGGCTGCCTTGCTCGCCTTGCTCTCCTTCCTCTCCTGTTGCCGAGGGAAGGGGGTGCGCAGCGTGCTTCGGTTCAACACAAAGGCATAAAAGCTGTAGCCGTGTATCAGACTGAGCCTGCTTTTGCAGCCAGAGTGGGGTGAGCTAGCGCCTCCTTTTTGGCCACCGAACGGGGCAGTTTTGTTGCCCGTGTGTGCTGAACACACCGTGCTAATGTTGGTCTGAATTTCAAGTTACCTTCCTTGCACAGTGTCAAACCGCACTTCCAACACCTTTGCTAATCACGGCGTAGTTCTCCCGCAGCGTATTCGGGCCCTGGAATACCCAGATACGCAAGTGGCATTATTCCAAGCTGGTTTGGGATCTGTTTCGCTTTGGGAGATTCCCCAGCAAGGGATTATGGTGTGCTGGAAATCTCTTGAAACCATAAAATATCACCTTGGCAGCTTTATTGCAATGCTTGCCTTCTTTGGAGGGAAGCATTTTGCGTGATAGAGGGTTTAATAAAGGAAATTCTAAATGGACTTGCTGCAGTTTGGGGCTTGGTCTTATATATTTTTGCATTAGGAACATTCATCTGCTTTGCAGAGAAACTGCAATATGTTCATGGCCTTGGATTAAGATTTGGTTTTACTTTTATAGCTGACCCACTTGGGGGGATGGAGGGAGGGGGAGAATTGGGTTCACTCCCTCTTCTTTCTATTTTTGCTGCTGTCTGATGTATAAAAAGAGCCTGGAATGGGTAGGCTTATTTTTGCTGCCAGGACTTTTTTTATTAACTGTAAAAACACTCAGATCTGGTCTCTGCTGTTTATCTGGAGAACTCTGCTTCTGAAGCCTCGTTCTCGCAGCCCGTCGGTGGGCTGCAGGCGTGGGAAAGCTGCAGCAAGCCGAGCTCCTCTCTAGCGGGGTGGACGCGGGAGGGCTTTGGGCTGGCGATGGCCAGGGCCAGGATGGCTCCCTGGCTGCGAGTCTCTCCCTTCAAGATGCTGCCAACCGGCTTGGTTGCTCGGCTTCCCAGGGGGACAAGATCTGACTTGGAAATGGCAGAAGGGAGGGAAGGTGGGTGAGGAGAAAACCCCATTGAGATGAACACAAGGCTTTGTCCAGGGCTTAGCTTTGCTGGTGGTGAAGGCTTCCCCAAGGGCAGCGGGACTGGGGCCTCATGGCCGCAGGGGAGCCCGTCGTGCTCAAATGGGCTGGTGGCCGCGGGAGGCAGAGTCCTTGCCCCAAGGAGCGGGGTGCATGGGCAGCTGGAGAGCTCGGGGACAGACCAGGTGTAGCACAGGAGCCCTTGATGCCTGCTCCAGAGCCAGCCAGAGCTTAGGCTGCCCCGAGTGAGGAATACCCTTCTTTCAGCTTATTGCGTTAATGGGCTCTTCTTGGAGAATTAGCCTGTGCCGTCGCCTCCATCGCTCACGGGTCGGGGACGATGGGCCAAAGTGGTAGCTTGCAGCACGTGGTCCCATCTCTCCGTCCTGAAGCCCCCACGTGGGTGCTCTCCCTGCCGAAAAGCGCAACGGAGGGTAAAAGGCACCGCGTGACCCCGAGGGAGGCGTGTGACAGCAGTTACCGTAGCACAGACCTCGGCTCGTAGTGCTTTCTGGTCTAGAAGGCAATGTTCCCAACCAAATTTTGGGATCACCTTTTTGGCAAAGCTTAGGAACATAATCCTTCGTTTCCCGGGCTGGTCAAGAGTTGACATACGGGCTTATCTTGTCTGCCCGCATCTTGCTCCCTTCTGGTTGTCACCCTGTAAATTAGGGTACGGGGTTGGGATTTGCCCAGCTGCTGTTTCGGGTGGGCATCGCCCCGTAGGCAGGTTTGCAGCGGGATCAGGATACGCCCAGCTTTGGGTCTAAAACCAAGTCCGAAGCAGAATCGCAGGGACCCAGTATACTTGTGGGATTTCTTTTGCGGAGGTGGTTGGTGCGAGCGGAGGAAAGGGCGCAGCTTCTGTTACGTGACCTCAGGTGCCGAAGTTCATCACAAAACACGCGGGAGAGGGGAGGGAGCAGTCATTTAGTGGTGGGTCTAACTTAAACCCAATTAAGGCTCTCTTTAGAGCTGCCCTGGAAACGTAGGCTTGTTTGTCTATAGGTAAATGAAAGTGCAACTCCTTGGAGGTTTTTGGTTTTTTTTTTTCCATTGTATCGCTTCAAGAGCAGCAGCATTATTCCTAACCCAGAAGGGACATTTTGTCAGCAGCAGCGTTTAGAAGACGGGTTTTTTTTTTCCCCCCTGGGTAGGAGACTTACATAATGCTGGTTCTTTCTCAGGGCTGCAGCTGCCAATTACGCTAAGGAGCAGGCTGGTTCAGTGCGTGCCGCTGTTCTTTTGACACCGGCAGAAATCTGCCAAATTCAAATTAAGATCTGAAGTTTCCTTGCGCAGGTGAAAGGCCGGAGCAGAACGGCTCGGCAGTCGAGAGCGAGCGTTCGTTTGTCTGGTCGTGCAGCTGCTTACGGTTACCTCCCGCGGTTACAGAAACGGCCGGTTCACCCAGCGCAACCAAAAAGGTGCCCTTTGTTTCGCGGCCAGCTCCGGAGCTGCTCTTCGTGCCAGCAAAACCGCTTTTGTCCATCAGCCTATATCGTAGAGAGGAAGTAAATATTAATACGGTTGCTAAGTAGGAGCGAGCGTGGTGTCCAGGCAATCTGCGTCCGCTGCGTTCCCGCTCTGTAGCGGACGAACCGCGAATGGCTCGTCTGCCCAAATCTAGGCTTTCAGCAAGGAGGTGCGAGTAGCCGCGGGCGTACGAGCCCGCGAAATAACACGTAGCGCGGAGCGCCGAGGCCGCGCGAGGGGCCTGGAGCAAAGAGGCGCTGCACGGAGCTGGTACTTGGCAGTCGTTGCAGGCCGCCGTTTGGAAAATAATAATAAAAGCTTGGCATGCTTATAAAGTCAGGGAAGCATCTTTTTGGAGGACAGATCCAAACAGTATTGAAACGGCAAGCGCGGGGGGTGGGGAATGAGGAGAAGCATTTAAAAAGCCTTAAAATAGCTTGTGCCTGAAATGACATGTTAAATGAGAGACTTGGATGGATTAACAAGACTGAACGTCTGTTGAAATAAATAAATAAAGCCCAGAACGATCCCCAGTTTTTGCACGGCCATCTTCTCCGTGGGCGAAGCGCAATTTGAGCTCGGCCTGTTTGCTAATGGCTAACGTAAAGCGCGTTCCCAGAAGCGCGCCGGCCTCGCTGGGAAAGCTGCTGGCGAGCAAGCGAGGGTGTGCGCGAGGCGCCTGCGAAACCCGGGAGCGAGGGTCGAAGGAGCCTTGCTGACCAGGAAAGAAAAAAGGAAAACAGGCGTGCAAGCTTCAGCTCCAGACCGGGCCAGTGAAACGACGAGAGCGGAGGCTGGGGCCCCGCCAGCGCCGAGCGTCCTTCGCTCGCTTCTGCGCTCCTGAGAAAGGCTTTGGGATTGTGGCAGTAACGTGCTAATTGACTCAATGTGGGGCGACAAGGAGAGACGGCGTTTCTCTTCGCTCCGCCTCAAAACCAACCTGTTTGTCCTGGTTTTGTTCCCCGCAGAGCGCAGCTGCCGCCCCGAGTCCCGTGCTTGGAAACATTCCCCCGAACGACGGGATGCCCGGGGGCCCCATCCCGCCAGGTTTCTTCCAGGTAGGCTGCCGCTTTTCCCGATGCCGCTGGTGGTAGGGCGCACGTGTTTGCTTACGCTCTTCATGTCAGCACTCTGATTTTCCGAGGGGATCCTAGAGTAGTACTATGCCAACATAGATGACCTGTATATAAATAACTAATACTCTGCTGTTCTTCCACGTTTACTTTCTGTTTTTTGTGGCCTTAAAGCAAATTCATTTGTTGCTTGAAGAGGTTACTTTGTATTTACAACTGATATTTTTCCAGAGCTGCTTGTTTTGTGTTTCGGTTGAGATTGTATTTGTTCTTTGGTCATAACAGACATGCTTAATTGAAAACATTCTGGATTTTGATTCCTGAAACTTTTTCCCCCTCTGGTTAACCACTTGATTTTTTCCAAATGCAATCACTGAAAGCATTAACAAACGCTGGCTTAAGCTACAGCTACGGGCAGAAGCGGATTCAATGCAAGTCCAAATCACTGAACGCCATCGAGGCACCTTGTAAGAAAATACCTAGCAAAATTCCTAAAGTTTTCTCATTCGTTTGTTCTCCCCCATTAAGCTCTGATTAAAGATGAGGTAAAGTATGTTTTGAGTGATGCTCACGAAGAGGATTTTAGCAAACACTTGGAAAAAAGTTTTCAAAACCTTCAACTTTTTTTTTTCTCTTTGTATGTCACAACGTGTACTGGTTTGTAGCAACGTAAACTGTTGGTGCATTAAAATCTTATTTCTTGAGGAATAAGCACTTGTTCATGTAACAATTGGAGTAACAGCTGAAAGAAATATTTGTTCTGGCCAGCTGCTTTTTTATCTGGGCTTGTGATTTGTATATGGGAGAAATTCTTGGGCAGTAGACAGGCGAGCTTGATAAACTGCTTGTGATTTATTATGGTGATATCTTAGTGCGGTATCACAATTTGTGTGTGTATGGGAGTTAGGGAAGAGGGAAGGAAGGTTTTTTTCTTTTTTTAGAGAGATCCCATTTCCTGAACATGCTTATGACAAAATAAGAATATCCGACATCGATTGGTAACCCTAAAACAGGCTAATCTCATAGCAGCGCTCCGCAACGCGGGATGAAGTGAACAGAAGAGATGCTATCTCACAGGTCATAGCTGCTGCCAGCAATTCAAGTGCCAAGTTGCTACTTCCAACAAGCCTGCTTCCAAAGACCTGATCTCATCCTATTGCAGAGGGGACTGTCCTTTAAGGCATCCCCACAAGCCTGTAAGAGTCAAGGAACTGGCAGAAAGTTAGGGGAAGACTTCAAAATTACATGTTGAATTTAATGAAGAGGGGAAGGTGAGGGAGAGGAACGGCATTAATGGGTGAGCACTGCCAGCCGTGCGTGCCCCGCACACACTATGCATGCTTGATGCTTCCCGTTGGCGGGCTCCTAGGTTTTCCCCTTCTCCTTTCTGGCTTTCCTTAGCATTTTTTTGTGCAGGGGCTCTGATTCGGGAACAGAGAGCCCGTGCCACCTTTCTACCTCTTCTGCAGCCGGGCTGTGAGCTGGGTTCGGCCAGGGCTCCCCTGCCACAACTTGGGTTGCAGGAAGGTGGGCTCGAAAGCAGCCCCTGTTTCTTATGAGCTTTGGTGTGTGTTGCCTGAAACCTCCGCAGAAACAAGGGGTCATGCACCCGCCCCTTGCAGCTCTGGCGGTGCCAAAGGGAGGTGCTGCCTCCTTCGAGCTGGGGGAGGGTGCTCGCCTGGCCGTGCCTTGGCTGAGGAGGAGGGAAGGGTGCCCATGCACGTGAGGAAGGGGCATGTGGCTTGCACATGGCGTCTCAAGAGATTGCCTTTCCTGAAAGCCTTCCAACGTCTGGTTTTCCTCTCCTCGCTCAGGGGTAGAGGGGAGGAGGGGAGAAGCGATGTCCCACCTTTTAACACAGTCTGAACATCACCCCCAGATTTATTGTAGACATTCAACTCGTCCCAGCTTCAGGACAGGCTCAAGACAAGCTCTCGCTGAGGTGTGTTGGAGGCTCTACGCCGAGCAGCTCGGGGTTAATTTCTTATCTCTGTAGGAAATTAAAGCACTGAACTTAAGAGGGCAAAACCTGAAAGGTCACAGGAAATGCAAAGGATTGAAATGGTTACGGTTCTTCTCCCTGACCCTTTTTGTGCCAGCCGTGGGACTGGAGGAGGTTTCCAGCTGTAACGGGAATGCAGCATGACCCAATTCAGTCGGCCTCCCCCATCGGGAGACCAGAGGGTGGAGAAAGGATCAGGAGTTTGTGTCTCACTCTGCCTTGCTGAGTGCCATGCTGGCAGGTCAGGCCTAAAACAGACGCAGGCATTGAAGCATGGGCACATCGTTTTAGAGAAGGCTTTGGAGGTGGAAAAGGCCCAGTACCTGGGGGCAGAGCGTTGTCCTGCGTTGTACTGGCAACGTAGGGGAGCATCAAACCAGGAGCTGCGAAGGGAGTAGCCAGCACGGCTCAGGTTGCTTCAGTGCCTGCTGCCAAAATCCCGGATTGCCACCTTCAGAGGTGCAAGTGCTGCTGCAGGTTCAAATGTGCAGCTCTGTTTGGCAAAGGGGAAAAAATGATACGGACCATTCTTGGGAGCTGGTGGCCCCCAAAAGGCAAGAAGTTGCTTGGAAGAGAGGTAGCTTTCTGGGAAGGGAAGAGGAGAGGAGGAGCGGAGCCCACAGTGCCCTATCTGCAGGCTGCCGGGTTGTGTGGAGAGTCTGCTCCTTCTCTTGGAGTTCAGCAGCAACCTTTAGGCTCAGGGCCAGAGGGGAATGCAGTCTCTCCCAAAAGCTCATGCTGGATAGGAAAGGACAGGCCCTGGGCACCCTTCAGTTGTCGGAGCGCTACATGGTGCCAGCAAACTGCAGCGGCTGGCAGGAGACTCTACTTCGGACAAAAGGTTGCCCTGTTCACAGCTAGCGTGAGTAGATGCTTTTATTTAAATCTCCTTCTTTGTTCCTTTAAAGTGAGCAAACAAACCCATTGCTCGTCCTCCTAAAGGTCATCAAAGTCATTTCTGCTTTTGTTTTGAAGGCTGAATTGATGCCCATTTGCAGATTCCTCAAATGGATCTCTTCTGCTCCAGCAATGGGGAAGGGGGTTTACTAGGGAAATGTATGTTATTTTACAGAAGGTAAAATAAAAGCTATTAATAGAAGAGTAAGACCTTCCTAATACCAAATAAATGGGGCGTAGGAGGTATGGGAATGAGTGTGCGCACACCCAATAATCAGACACCCTCTGTGGCTGTGCCTTTTCTCCCAAATGTGAACTCGCTGCGTAGCTCTGTAACACTCTCTCTGATGAAATGGAAAGTTGAACATAAATCAATGTCTGTGGCTGTGTTAGCTATGCATCAGCAGTTAGTGCGCGAGATGCACCAAAACAAAGCGCCGGCTGGTCGGTGTTCCTACACTGCCCCCTAATGCAGAGAAACCTCGGGAGCTGGGGAGGACGGTGGGATTTCTGAGTTTGGGGGGGGATTTCCATTTGCCTCCCTGCCGTTCAGAAGAAACGTGTCCGTTTACTAGGTCACAGTTGTCCTCTTGGCGAGAAAGAAGCAAAGCTAGTGGTGGGAGGCCGCAGCACTGCTTTGCTCTCCCAATGTGGTTTTCAGACTCCCGTTTTAGTGTCTGCTGGTCATGCCGTAGATGTCTTGCTAGTGCTTCTTGAGCCGTTTGGCTCGCTCTGTTGAAATGACTTCTTTCTTTGCTGTGCAGAGCATTTTCCAACAAGGAACATAAGTAAACAGAGGCAATGCAGGTACTTTACCATTAGTTGTATTTCACGTGAAGTTTAGGAATACACCTCTGTCCTGGCTCTGTAATAAGCTGAGCATTGCCCTCACTTGCTAATGGGCTCCCCATCCGAGGGTACCCGGGCTGCTCTTGCCCCTCTGGTGCCGTTGCCGCCGAGATCAGGTCCGAGGGCTGCCATGGGATGCTGCGCTCGCTGGCTGCAGCTCTCTCCCTCAGTCCACCCCGTGGGGAGGAACAGCCTTGGCAGACGGGCACATTTGTGGTCACGTGCCGGAGCGGCGCCTCAGCGTTGGCCTGCCCTTCGCCCAGCCTGCTGCGATCTCCCTCCCTGCCCATCCTGTCTCTCGCCCTGGAGTTGTAGATCAGCAGGCATCCCAGGAAAGGTGTCTGTGAGCAGACTGGTAAGGTTGACCACAGATAATGACGATAACAAAGTCAGGGAAGTGGGAAGGATGCCGTTTCTTCCTGCTCCCCCCCTCAGAGGCCACCGTTTTCCCCCATTAGCCTTGCTGTGCTTGGTTTTTCTGTTGGAGATGCGGCTTCAGGTGAGGCAGAAGTCTTTGCAATCTGATGTTATTCCCGTAACATTTGCCGTTGCTCTATAGATTCCTAATTTTAGCAGAAGCTCTGTGGCCACTGCTCGCCTTGTGTGGTCCCTTCTGCTGCTTCTGTGAGCCAGTTTCTGGGAGATGGCACAAGAACCGCAAGACAAACTTCACTTTCTCTGAGCCGGAGGGAACTTCACGAAAATTGTAGGGAGCAAAAATAAATGCCAAGATGTATCCGATTTGCTGTCCGTGTCACAAATACAATAGATGCCTTCCCAGAGCCCGCTGGAACAGGCGGGATGCGTTTTGAGCTGTGGAGATTGCCAAAGCAGGGCACACAGTTCAGATCTCTAATGGTTCCTCTTGGGGATATCTTGATTTGAAATTCTCTCAAGTAATCTCTTTAGCCGTCGTTCAGCCGGCTTCCTGAGGAGTGTCCCCCATCGTGAGATATGCTCTTTCCTCCAGCCGTTTCCACGTTTCCCCTCCCCAGGAAGGGTAATGTAACTCTTCTCCAGGGAGCGCTGGACTAAAAGATCAGAGCCTGCATTACTTCCCAGCTGTTTGCGACGAAAGCTGGCTTTGCGAGAAAAGGAACGTGTTGTCCATCTCCGTTTCATTTGGGAATAGCGCTCTCAACACAGCTTCCAGGGAAGGGATTTGCTACTAACGAAAAGATTTGCGAAACAGAAAGGTGCGATTTAGAGCTTTTCGTAGCTGTTTCTCTTCCTCCAG